AACTACCCAAAATATATAAGGAGCTCAATTCACTAGCAAAATCTAATTTTAAAATGAGCAAAGGGCCCGGATGAACATTTCTCAAAAGAAGATAACCAGTAGTGTACGATAAAATGGTTAATATTACTAATAGGGAAATAACTAAAACCATACATCTGCCTATAACTAAAACGAGGAAAAAGGTAAGTGTGAGGGTGTGGAGAGGAGGATCCTTGAACACTGCTGGTGGGAAAGTAAATACAACCATTATGGAAACCAGCATGGAGGTCTCCTCAGAAAAAGTGTCTTGTCACCCAGCAATCCCACTTGCTGGCTGAAATCCAAAGGAAAGCTGTCAAAGAGCTGCACTCATTCACGGAGTCGTTCACAATAACTGAAGGAATGAAACTTTAGTGCCTATTCATGCATGAATGGATGAAGCAAACAAAATGGACTTCGCTGTTAAGAAATTACATCATTTGGGAAAATATGGACAAATGAGAATATTAGGCCCTGCCTTGGAGCCAGCAACTGTGGACTGACACCCCTACAAACTGAGTTTCCTTTAACTTGTATTAGTTATTTTCTCTCAGCAACAAGAAAAGACACGTGGTAAACTTTATTCCTTGGCCTACCTGATCTAAAATTGATTTTTTTGTTTTTGTTTTTGAGACAGGGTCATAGTATGCAGTTCAGGCTGGCTTTGAGCTCACTTTGTAACCCAGGCTGGGCTCGAACTCACGATTCTCCTGCCTCAGCCTCCTGAGTGCTGGGATTACAGGCATGTGCCACCAAACTCAGGCTAAAATTCTGTCAGTGCACTTCAACTGTAAAACAAACCTAGGTTGAAGTTTGTAGCTTTGGGATAGCTCATATAATTTATGCACATTTTAAATGTAATTTCCTTTATCATCTCCAGAGAAGAAAGGTTGCTTGGGATGGAAGAGGGGTGGTTCTTGCACTGGGAAAGGGTGGCAGCAGAGAAGAGAACCATAAGGCTGTGGATATTGAGGATTTGTAGAAAAATACAGGCATTGCTTGTTTAGATGTTCATACTTTGCAGCCTCCTCCTGGGCTTGGGGAATTCCCAAGAATGTGATAAAAGCCATATTCTTACTGTGGAGATTTAAAACTGAGTTGTCCACTTTTTTCCTCTCATGTAGCTTGTAAGCTGAGATGGCTAGAAAGCACCATCCACTCTCCAGAGTAGAGGCACTGGTCAGAAAAGACTTATTCTGAGCACCGCAGTAAAAATCTTGGAAACACTTGGATGAATATTTAAATCCCTAACTCATCATTTGAAGCTTAAGGAAGTCCTGTATATATACATTTGTTGCATTGGCTGGTGATTTCTTAAACACGTCAAACAAGCCAGGCAGGGTAGTATGTGCCTGGAAACCCAGCACTTGGGAGGCTGGGGTGGGAGGATTGCAAGTTTGAGTCCTGCCTGGGAAACTCAGCAAGACCCTGTCTCAAAAAACAATGGGCTGGCTATGTAACTTGGTGGAGCACTTGCCTAGTTTGTGCAAAGTGCTAGGTTGCCCAGCACTGCAGAAGGAAGCAAGGAAACAGGAAAAAAAAACGGGGATAATTTAATGTAAAGGCCCTGGGGCTGGGGATTTAGCTCAGCGGCACAGTGCCTGCCTGGCAAGCGCAAGGTCATGAGTTTGATTCCTGGTACTGGAAAAAAAAAAATAATGTAAAGGCCCTGAGTTCAGTGCCCAGTATCACAAATACACAAAGGGTGTTCTTTGGAAAAAAAGCCTACATGCCCTGTCTCTACAATGTCTTATTGTCTCTAGGACAGTACTGGAGGATTTAAGAAATATATATATATCCATGTATATCTCATTTTATGGATAAATAAATATATATATATGTCAATCATGTAGAGAATACCTGTAGAAGTAATTTTTCATATACAGGATCTTGAAAGAACATGACTTTTAAATTGGGTCAAATTATGAGTACTGCTGTGGTTTGCACCTTTATTCTCAAAATCATGTGTTAATGGTATTTGGAGGTGATAATTTTCAGAGGTGACTGGGTCAAGAGATCTGCCCTCATGAATGGATTAATCTATTCATGAGTCAATTTATTAATAAGGTGGGGTAGGGGCTTTTTGTGAAAGTGAGCTTTCTCTGGCCTACCTGCTGTTTTGCCATGTAATTGATGCCTTTTGTCCTGAAGCAGCAAGAAGGGTCTTACCAGATGGTGACTGAATACTGCCACCAAGTTCTTGGAGTTACCACCCCTCAAAACCATGAACTAAAGGTTTTTTTTTTTTGAGGTGTGTAGTTCAGGCTGGCCTTGGACTCATTTATGTAGCCCAGGCTGGCCTCCAATTCAGACTGATCCTCCTGCCTCAGCCTCCCAAGTGTTGGGGCTACAGAAATGTGCCACCATGTCTGGCCAGAATGCAGTAATTTCCATTCTTTACCCAGTCGGTAGTATTAAGATATAGCAACAGAAAGCAGATTAAGACAGGTTCACCTCTAACAGATTCTGACTCAGCTTGTCAGCTCGTGTGATCTGGAATGGTTTTGATTACATTGGGGACAAGACATTTTGACTCCACAGTGACCCATCTAAATTGGAAGTGAGATGTTACAAATTGGTTGATATGACAGGAAATTAAAGGCAGAAAAGACAGCATTGAAGATTTAGTATGTGTGATGTTCTAACTATATCCTGCATTGACAGTCTGGTATTGAGAAAAACACTGGTGAGTAGTAGAGCCCTGGCATTTTATTAAATTTTTATTTACTTATTTTGAGACAGTGTTTCACTATGCAGTTCAAGCTGCTCTAGAACTCACAGTGATCCTCCTGCCTCAGCCTCCTGATGGTGGGATTACAGGTGTGCGCCACCACACCTGGCCTGAACACTTGCATTTTAGAAAAGCCTTTTGGTATCTGTAGGCCAGGGATGGCAGTGGGAGATGCTTCAGTGGAAATGGACTCCTTGATTCAATTGGCACTGCCAAGATTATTGTGTCAGAGACAAAGCACAGTCACACTTAGCAATGGGGATGTATCCTGAGAAATGCATTAGGTGATTTTGTGTAACATCACAGAATGTACATACACAAACCTAGATGGTACTGATCAATCACTCGATGCAGTCTAGGTACAATAAAAGAACAGTAAATGACATCTGAGCTGCTGCTGGCATAACATGACATACTGTTTCATAGTAAACTTTTCTTTTTGAACGAGTATACTCTAAAACAGTAACTAAAAGTATACAACAGTAAGCTCCTTAACGAGTAACATTCATGATCAAGCATTACGTACTTTATATAAATGCATGTGCTGTATATGTTTTTCATCGTTACCACAAATGTAATGTGTAATATTTTGTGCTGTTACATGAGCTGTTACCACTAGGCAAGAGGAATTTCTCACCTCCATTATGTTATGGAATTACCATCACACACGCAGTCTGTTGTTGAAACATTATACTGCCCATGTCCATAGTTCACCTAATTGCTGGAGTAGAAAGGTGGGCATGGTTACCATAATGGGCGTCAGGATTCAGGATAATCAGTAGTCTAACGCAAGGTTCAGCTTTGGTTAATTGATCACATGATCTCTAGTACCAAAATAAGCTAACTCCATGATCCTACTGATTTGTATAACTTTTAAGTCTGACTTGAACTACTAGTGTAGTCACAATTTGTCCAATGGCTAGGGATGATTTCATTCATACTCCTGGATTCCTTTGATGTAGATAGTATCCAGGCATAACATCACAGATATGTATCCTCTCAGCCGCCTCCTCTCTGATGAATGTGGTCATTTATCAGAGTGATTATGCAATGCAGAGAGAAATCCTGGACCTTTAATACTGAACTGGTCTTACATTAATTATGGTTTTTGGGAATCAGCATATCACATTTTTTGGAGGTGAATCTTATGGAAGTCAGTATCATAGGTAAAAGGAGTTTTGACTTAAGTCCAACAACTCAAAACTGTCCTCTGGGTTACCTCTCCCATTTCCTGAGCGTAAGGTTAAGGTAGTATTAAGTAACACACACTTGTTTCCTCAACTAGTTTCTTACATTTTAAGGAAGGAATGCAAGTGATGTCACTTTACAATGTGGTCAACATTGGCAATGTCCCAAATTACAACTGTTGTTAGGGGAACAAGACTGTTAATGTAGGTTGATTAAACTACTTACAGTTTTTTCTTTGGAAAATATTCCTTTATATGTGAAATTAATATACTACATATATACTTTAGAGATTACATGTTTCTGTATCAAAGTAGGCTCTCTGCATAAACTTCATCTCAGCATTAACCAATATGTCATGCTGATAAACACTTAGCAAGATCTGACGCTGGTCTTCAATTTAACAATATGTACTTTTTTTTTTTTTTTTTTTTTTTTTTGCCGGTACCGGGAATCGAACTCACGACGTTGTGCTTGCCCGGCAGGTACTGTGCTGCTGAGCTAAATCCCCAACCCCAACAGTATGTACTTTAATCAGATAATCCAAGCACTAGTTTGCTTCTTGGATTTACAATAGTTTTCCTTTTGAATTATACAAACAACATTTACTTCTCTTTGTGCTCATCTGTAATATAATTTTAGTAGGCAACAACTGGAGTAGATGATTTTTTAATAGTCACAGAAACTTAACTTGCATTTCATTTATTCCTTTATTTTACTGAATGTAACTGGAGAAAGGGAAAAAAGTATCCTCTGGGGAACATGCCGTAGTAACAGATATTTTCCTTTATTTCTGCTAAAGTAACTGTTCCTCTAACACCATCTTCCCCATCATCCAGATTTGTGTATGTCATGGGAGCTTTTGTCTTATGTAGTGTTTTCAAACCTTTCAGTTATGAATGTACCACCCTCCTCCTGCTCAATGGCTGTGAAAAGTTATTTCCCTTGAGAAATGCAGGTAAATATGGATCAAATCATTAAGACAAAAACCTAAACTTTATACCAACTCCTTTCACCTAAAATTTTATATCCAGATGAAGCAAGAATGATATGAATACAAACAAGATTTTTTTTCCAACTGATTTTTATAATTATGTTAGCCTGGGCAACTATTACAAAAACTTTACACAAATATACACATACAACAAAACTAGAAAAGCCAACCAAAGAAAAACAATTCCAAAACCAAAAAAATCTTCACTTTGTAAGATGACAGTTTTTACTTCTGATTGGTAGGTAGCACAACTAATCAAATGGATACTGGACATGCATTAACTGAGGCACTTGAGATCACCCAACCTGTTTAATTCACAATAAAATCCCTCCTTGAGATTTTAGTATTTGTGAACAATTATATTAGAACACTGGTCTTAGTGTGTTTGACAAAAATTTTACACTGAAGTTTGGTCATCTAGATTACATACCTGTAAAAAATGTATTCTGTCTCAGGCAACTATTTACTTTCTTTTTCTTGGAGGGGTGGTACTGCGAATCAAACTCAGCACCCTGTGTCTGACCAGTGTGTGGAATATGATTTGTTAAAAACGGGAAGGTATTTTAGCTTTATATTTGTGAAACACATCAATGACCTGGAAGAATGTTTTACTCAGGGTCATTTTGCTAAGTAAAAGGTTTTGTTTTCATTTGTATACTAACCACAGAAAAACAAATACCATGGATCAGTTCAGGTAGAAACATGATTAAGAATAATAAAGCCTAACATGGGTATGGTGGCACACATCTGTAGTTCCAGCTACTCAGGAGGCTAAGGCAGGAATGATTAGGCCCACGATTTCCAGGCAAGCTTGGGTGACACAGCAAGATCCTGTCTTAAAAAAAAATGGCTGAGGATGTAGCTCAGTGGTTAAGTGCCTGCCTAGCAATGTATGAGGCCCCAGGGTTTGATCTGCAGCACTAAAGAAGGGAAAAAAAAGGAAAAAAAGAATGGTAAAGGACAGTTTCTACAGTATACATGAATTGTGAACACTAAGCATGTGAAAGTTAACTGAATTACTAAATAGTAGGGTGATCTCAGTCAGAACCTTTGCTTCATATGACATGTTTCCATTAAAATTTTAAGTTTTCTTTAAAATAAGAAAAACTTGAAAAGCTCCCAAACCAGCTAAGTTAGAAACTGCTAATTTTCTGAATGAAAGCAGCACTGTTTATTTTCATACCACTGAATTGAAACAATAGAAAAAGAACTACAGTTGGCATAGAGAAACACTGAGCCATCTATACAGACACCTGAGAATAAATTTTTCCTTCTATTTACCATTTTTTTTTTTTCCCGGTACCGGAAATTGAACTCATGACCTCGTGCTTGCCAGGCAGGCGCTGTGCCGCTGAGCTAAATCCCCTGCCCCCTCTTGTTTACCATCTTCTGCAGCTACTTGCTTCAGCTTTGTCATTCACTGACATTTCAACCCTGTCGGCTACTGTATCCTCTGCTGCTGACTGGAGATGGCCTTCTGATTGTCCTCCAGTGTAAGTGGGGGTGCTGTACTTTAAAAGGATAGATTTAAACTGGATCAGAGGTGCATCGGTACGGACACCCATTGGGTCAAAATGAGTTCGGCTTACTCGAAAGCCTGCTTGAGAAAGATAGCACAAAAACTTTTTTAGCCTGCAATAAGATGAGAAAAAAATAATTAGATTACTATATTTGTATTTCCCTCATAATGCTATTAAAATAGGATATAAAAACTTTGCCATTCATAGTTGTCTTACTTTGGCATGTTCATTCCTTTAATGCTGTGTCTGTGGATGTTGTAATAGAAGGGAGGATGCTCAGTAATGACATCAGTCTTTTGCTTCTTGACTACATTTGTAATCATTTCGTTACTTTTTCTCTTTCCTGAAACATGCGCACAGTTAGTAGTCTTAAAAAAGGTTAGGTGCTTTTGTAACAAGTCTACTCTGACACACCACTTCAACCTACTTACCCAATCTTAATTCTTAAAATGAGGTAATTTATTTTAGGTATTTTTACTGCTCTTTATGTAATTTTAATATTTGTTTTTTGAGCCAGAACTACTTTCCTACCAAGACCCAGAATACCCAAGTAATTTTGTACTAGTACTAAGAGCCTAGCAGGAGGCACAGCAATACCTGACTTCAAGCTATACCACAAAGCAATAGTGATTAAAAATGGCATGGTACTGGAATAAAAATGGGCACATGCATCAACGGAACAAAACTGAGGATACAGAATCCTCAGACATATTCAACTGTTTTGATCTTTGACAAAGGGGCCAAAAGCATATGCTGGAGGAAAGATGAAGATAAGTCTATTCAACAAGCGGTGCTGGATAAACTGGGTATCTGTTTGTAGAAGAATACAACTGGACCCTTATCTCTCACCATATACTAAATTAAATCAAAATGGATCAAAGTTATAAACATTAAAACAGAAACAAACTTTCTGGAAGACAGGTGTAGGAAAGGAATTTCTAAATAGAGCCTGAGCTGCACAAGAAATAACAGCAAGAATCAACAAATGGGAATACATCAGACTAAAAAGCTGTATGGCAAAAGAATCAGAGTGAAAAGACAACTCTGAAGAATGGAAAAAATGTTTGCCAGCTTCTCAGAGGACTAATATCTACAAAGAACTCAAAAAAAATTAAATCACCTAAAATTAAAGACTCATTCAAGAAATGGGGAAGAGAAATACAAATGATCAACAAATATATGAAAAAACCTGCAACATCTCTGAGCATTAGAGAAATGAAAATTAAAACAATGCTAAGATTCCATCTTATTCCAGAAAGAATGGCAATCAACCACAACTGCTGATATGGCTGCGGTGAGATAGAAACCCAACTGCGTTGTTCGTGGAAAATGTAAACTAGTACAATACAAGCGTTATGGAGATCAGTATGGAGATTTCATTTTTTTTTTTGGTACCGGGAATTGAACTCATGACCTCGCACTTGCCCGGCATGCCCTGTGCCCCTGAGCTGTATCCCCTAAAAACTAAAATTAGAAATTCCATATGACCCAGCTATTCTCCTGCTAGGTATCTTCCCCAGAGAGCTTAAGTCAACACCCTGCAGTGATATATGCATACCAATGTTTATAGCAGCACAATTTCTAATTGCTAAATCCCAGAAGCAGCTTGCACAACCATCAACATGACCGGACAAGAAAATTTGGTATCTGTATGCGATGGAATACTACTCTGCTATAAAGAATGACACATTTGAGACATTTGTGGGAAAATGGATACACCTGGAAAATACAATGTTGAGTGAAATAAATCAGAAACACAAGCTTAAATACTATATGGTATCTCTCATTTGAGTGAGGCAAAGTATAAACAAAATGATAAAGGATGGACAGAAAGGGACAAAGGGATAGATCTCTCGTGTCAGGGAAGAGGTTCAAGTGAACAAAGTGAGAGATGAGGAAGAGGGGAAGGGGAAACAAGTAGAATAAGAATATGCCATGTGCAGGAAACTAAAAGCCCCAATTAATGTGAATACTATACGCCATAACATGGGCTAAGACAGTACCAACTAGTATGATACAGAGGAGCCAGAGAAGGACAGGGGGAGGGGAAGCAGAAGGGGGTTAAAAAAAAAAAAGCTATTGCATGTACATGTAACTCCCCAAGACGACTGTAAACTGCATGAATTGCAAACATGTACTAATAAATTAAAAAGATGTCATATACATCTAATAACCTCAACAGATGGGAGGTTCACACAAATGTGAGCTAAGATTAATAATATCAACAGGAATGAGAAGGAGAAAGGGAAAATGGATACACCTGGAAAATACAATGTTGAGTGAAATAAATCAGAAACACAAGCTTAAATACTTAAATTAAAGGAGGGCAGTAGGGAGGAACTGGGGAGGGGAGGGGATTTAAAAAAAAAAAAAAGCAAGTTACATTATGTACGTGTACCCACTCAAGATGACTGTGAACTGCATGTACTGCAAACGTGCTAATGAAAGCGTGAGGAAAAGAGAACTTTCCTTCTACATTCTTCAACTTCAAGCTTCAACTCTTCCACTCTATTTCCATCTCATGTAGAAAGCCCCCTTATAAATTCTGGATTGATCACTTCGCAGATTTCAGTATCATCAGTGTTATACTACTCAGAGCTTAAGTCTGTCTGTCACTGTTTTTCTTTTCTTGCTTCACATATATAGGCCTTTTATATGTGTAAATTCTTTCTCCCTGAATTATAAATTCTTAGGGACAAAGTCCTTCATTTTTATTCCTTTATTTATTGCTTAGTAGTGGACACATAGGTCTTTAATGTACAGCAAAAAAAATAAAAAAATAAAAAATGAACACCCAGCAAAGAAAAATAGCACACATGCGACCTTACCCATGTGCAATGACAAAAGGTGCAGTGTGTAACCCCAATGCCTATTTCTTAGTCTTTCCATTTTAAGTGAAAGAAAGCTAGCAAGTTAGATTATACTCATGAATCCTTCCAAAAATCACACACATGCACATACATGCACACAAAGACACACCTACCCACAAATACTTGGGACCTATATACATAATATTATGATGAGACTTTGAGTGTTTAACTCCTTTATATGTGAATGTTACGGTCAAATCTTATTTCTTCAGAAAAAGCAACTGACATTTGCATAAACGAAAGTATTCAGAAGAAAAGTCTGATGCATGAAACTGGTCAATTACATCCAAAGATAAATATAAATTATTGTTAAATTACTGGCTTTTTAGATAAACAGAAAAAAATGACAGCTTGGGATCCCTTCTATTAAGTAAGTGAATTAAAATTTGTTTAAATCCTTACATGGAATCTATTCAAAGAACATATACCCAGATTTAGTACAAATTCTAGGAAAGGTCAAACAAAAAAATCCTACATAATACCTATAAGTAACCATTAGCAACACATGGATTTTTTTTGCTTATGTTGTTCTGACAGAATAATAATTTTAGACATATGGAAGAGCCTATACACAAATGAAATAAACACATAAAAAAATGTTCAAGCATGAGCAAAATGCAAATTAACACTGAGATTCCATCTTCCTCCACAAAGAATGGCTATTGTCAACAGTAACAAATGCTGGTGAAGCTATGGGGGAAAAAGGAACCCTTCTAAACTGTTGGTGGGAATGTGCTGTAGTACCAAGCACTATGGAAATCAGTATGGAGATTCCTCAAAAAACCACCAGGAGAAATTCCACCTGACCCAGCCATTTCTCCTTGCAGGTATTTTCCCAAAAGAGTTAAAGACGTCATACTACAGTGATATGTATATACCAATGTTTAGAGCAATATAGCTCGTAACAGGTACATCCTGGAAGGAGCCTACATGTCCACCAACAGATTGAGTGGGTACAGAAAATGTGTTATTTCACAGTGGAGTACTACTCAGCCTTAAGGATAAATATGAGTCACTTGTGGGAAAATAGTCACTTTAAGACCAGAATATTAAGTGAACTGTATCAGACACAAGAATAAATGGTCACTTTAAGACCAGAATATTAAGTGAACTGTATCAGACACAAGAATAAATGTTTCTCTAAAATGAGAAACTCAAAGTATAAATAACAAAACAAAAGATAATATGAAATAGGGAGACAGATCCTCTGCAAATGGGAAGGGGAACTAGAGAAAGGACTGATAAAGATGTGTTATGTACCTTCACCAGTTCACCACAATGTCATCATTATGTACAGCAAACACGTACAAATAAACATAAAAAATAGAAAAGAAGAGCCTGTAGGGATGTTTTACTTCCTTAATTTATATGTAAGAAAGACTAGGAGACTTAAAACATTTTAAAGGCATTTTTTTTTTTTTTAAGCTTTTTTCCGGTACCAGGAATCGAACTTATGACCTCATGCTTGCCAGGCAGGCGCTGTGCCACTGAACTAAATCCCCAGCCCTTAAAGGCATGTTTATGTTTTACCTTATTCTAAAAAGGACTTAAGACAATTCTGCCGAAATTGATGGACCTGGCCAAGTGACACAATTCACAACGCAGAAGAATGTTCTTAAACTTAACGTTGTTCTTTATGGTATACCATAAGGCCTCTTTTGTCATCCTTCTAACCGAAGAAGTAGAATATATCTTTTTTTTTTTTTGGTTTTTCTCCGGTACCGGGAACCGAACTCACGACCTTGCACTTGCCAGGAAGGTGCTTTGCCGCTGAGCTAAATCCCCAGCCTAGAATATATCATTTTAAGAGATTTAAATGCTAGCAAATTAGTTGAAGATGCCAATAGACATGACTATAGAAAAAGCATTTATTAAAGCGTATGAAGAGGAATTTACTCTCTTTACAGACCAACACCTAAACTTTTGAGCAACTAATATAAAATTGCAGCTTCCTATTAGAGATCTCTGGTTTTTTAACCTTAACAGTCTTTATCTGTATTCAAAACATTTTTGGCCTCAGCAGGTTTTTTTGTGGTACTTGGGATTGAACCCAGGGCCTTTGCATTGAGCTACATCCCCAGCTCTTTGTATCCTTTTATTCTTAGACACGGTCTCATTAAGTTTTCCAGGCAGAAACTGAATTTGCGATTCTCCTGCCCAGCCTCTCAAGTGCTGGGATTATAGGTTTTTCTGACTTCTCTGAAGACTAACTAGGTCATATTAGGCAGCCAACCTGGTCTTGGGCTTGTGATTTTCCTGCCTAACTATGTTCAGCTTAGTATCTAAACTTATTTTTTAAAAAGCAAAATGATCTCCGGATATCAAAGCACTAACATTTTAACTCTTAACAACTTTTTGGTATTAATCTAGAATGTCTAAAACTTCTACAAAAGGCTATATAGTACGGTGTACTGGTTAATCAAATGAATTGCTATGAATTATACACTGATGTGTAATTTTAAAAGAAAAAAATAAAATTTAATCTGCTTTTTCAAAATCAGTCTTGCTATGTAGTTCAGGCTGGCTTTGAACTTGCCATGTAGCCCAGCTGCCTAAGTGCTTGGATTACAGGTGTGTACCACCATAGCTGGCTGAATACAATTTAATTTTAATACTACAATTTTGTCACAATATTTGATCTTATTTTAGTTTACGTAGTTCTTTATGATATTATAGTTCTCTTGGAGGAATTGCTGCCTACTAGAGATGTGAACAAAGTATATATTAATAGAAATGCTGAACTGTGTCCTCTATGAATGCTGTTACGTTTTACTATTATTTGGTTATCAGCATAGTATGTTGAAAATGTATTTTAAGAAGGCTACCAAGGCAATCTCTTCTCTTACTGCCTTTCTCCTTATGTCTTCTGTGGTGATACACACATATGTATGTATATACACACAAATACATACATACCTTGGGCACTGTAATCTGTTGTGGTATCATCTGTAGTTTTAACAGATACACCATTTTCTTCTAAAATGAAAACAAACAGGAAAATGTTTTATAGAGGACATTAAGCAGTAATTTAAAGTTCAAATATGTTCACGACATTCTACTCAAATTGGAATTTCATACAAGGATATATGAGTTTCTGTGGCCAAGGAGGCTGTAAGAATTACATATTTTAATAACAGCAGCTTCTTCTCATTATTTATGAGAGGATTAGGATGTTTAGTAGACCCACTCTTCTCCTGATAGCCAACGAAGACTACCAAAGCCTACTTATACTGAGGAGACAAAATTGTAGCTTTACTGCACAATATGTGTAAATCTATTTTCTGTCTCTCAATGGACATTAGCAACATTTCTGCCATAGCATTCCTAGAATTAACTAAGGTTTCTTGTTCTAAAAAATAGGCATACAGAATAAAATAATGGGTATACAATATTAAAGTTGCTTTTATCTACTAAAATTAAAAATAGGGGTGATTATTTTAATAAAATGATACTCATTTCAGGCCCCTGAGTATAAATCTGAAGAAAACCATGTAATTATAAAATGATAGCAACTCCCAATTATGATTAGGGTTATCAGAGGATTCAGAGCACATGATCATATTGCTTTTGATTATAATATCAAAGACAAAAGTGATACAGTATTTTTGGTAACCAACTTGTAAGTTAGCTACTGTTCAATTAGTCACCTTGCTTGCTGAGATTTGAAGGTGCATGAACTGAAAACTGACTCTGAGGCGTACACTCTGATTCAAAAATTAATGTTTTTATTAGGGTCTGAATGTCATCCAATCCATGGTGAACAGATTCAAATAACATTCTTTTGAGGAATCCAGTATTGAAAAGGGAACTTGACCTGAAAAAGAAAATAATATATAGAGAATTGATCTAAGAAATGTTTATATTTATTTTAAAAAGTCTCCATAATTTAACTACAATATAATTAATTATAGGATAGAGTAGTACTGGAATTCAAAAATAATTTGATTCATATGTTTACTTACTCTTTCCCCACTCCTTTTATCATTTCAGTTCTTTAAACTTGTAATATTAGCCAAGGAAATTTCATTCAAGTCAAATCAGTAAGAATTTACTGAGCTTAGTACAGTACTAAGAAATGTGAGGGTGGTGGGGGTAGGGATATGTAGAGGATTTAAATAAATATAAAATGCAACCTTAACCCTATAAAAGCCTGTAAGTCTAGACAGGAATTTAATGTAATGCACATTTAATGTAATGCACATAAAGACAGAAGTCTTTACAATGCACATTCTAGACAATAACAGAAAATCATCCTTACCACCCCCCGAAACAGGGTCTCACTATATATATATAGTCCATGCTGGTCTTAAACTTGCTATGTAGCCCAAGCTGGCCATGAATTCAGGATCATCCTCTCTCAGCCTCCTGAGTACTTGGATTGCAGGTACACTGAATCATGCCCGGCTTAGAGTCAATCTTAATTCTTTTGTATATACTGGGGTGGGTGGTGGTGGGAATCACATAAAAGAATGACACACAATAGTGGTAGTATAGTTTAAAAACAGCCCAGAGGTGAATGATATGTTTCCCATTTGGGAATCACAGGTATCACTGACAAAATATGAAATTTCAGGTCAGATAAACCTGGATTCTAATCCTGGTTTCACCACTTACTAGCTATATAAATTTGAGAAATTACTGCTTTTGTACAAGAGCAGTACAAGAGTGAACACAAGAGTAATTACTGCTTGTATTCTTCGTCATGAAACTGAAAACAAAATTTCTCACAAACTTAAACGGGAATTAATTGAGACAGTAGGTGTACAATGCCTACTATGAAGAAGATCCTTAAATGAATGGTAGTTCTAATTATCAAGGTTATCAAATATATATGAAAGGATATATAACTTTGAAGTATCAAATAATCATCTCAGGTGTGGTACACTACTGTAATCCCAGCACTCTAGGGGGTTGAGGCTGGAGGATAACAAGTTCAAACCTAGCCTTGGTAATTTAGTGAGATCCTATCTCAACAAAAGCTGGGAATGTAGATCAGTATAAAGGACCTAGACTCAATGAAATTCTGGACCCAACTATTTTGTTTACTACCAGTATTTTCTTTTTGTGATACTGGAGATTGAACTCAGGGCCTCTGTACTGAGCTACATACCCAGCCTTTTAAACTTTTTTTATAGTATTTTGAGATAGGGTCTTACTAAGTCATTAAACTTGCCAGGCTGCGTTTGAAGCTGAATCTTCTGGCCTCAGCCTGTAGGCTAATAACTAATATTTTGGGTCAGTTTTAGCAAGTGGCTAAAAACACTATGCCCTAATTTCCTCACCAGTAAAGTGAGGGCGCTGGATCTTCCTTCAGGATTCAGTAATCTGTTATTCTTAATTTCTCTAGCTCTGAGATCAGTAAGTAGGACCGTTGTGTAGGAGATGATATAGGTAAGTGAGTCTTGGAAAATAAGGCTGATTATATCATTCTTATACTATTTACAAAGGATGCAAATAAAATAATGGGCATCAGCATAAACATATTTTCTACTTGAATCATTTTTTTTTTTTTTTTTTTTTTTGCCTTTTTAACACAGGGTTTCGCTATGCAGTTCATACTGGCCTTGAGCTCACTTTGTAGCCCAGGCTGGTCTTGAACTCGCAACGATCCTCCTGCCTTAGCCTCCTGAGTGCTGGAATTACATTACAGGCGTGCGCCACCACTCCCGGCTTGAATCAATTTTTAAGGCTTGGTGGATGGCTAAGTTTGACCCTATAAATAAATGTGGGAAAAATTTACAGTGATTTCTATCACAATGTTAGCAATCTTAAATTTTCAAAAATTATTTTTATTTTTAGTAATCTTAATTTTTATGAGTCTCTAATAACAAAGTTTAAGGTATGGATTATGATGAAAAATAATTTAAGGTATTAAAAAACATAGTAACTAGACAGATATGTTGGCACATGCCTGTAATCCCATTACTTTGGAAGGCTGAGGAAGAAGGATTGCAAGTTTGAACTTAGCATGGGCAATTTAGCAGTGACTTAGCAAGACCCTGTCTCAAAATAAAAAATAAGAGTGGCTGGGCATGTTGTTTAGTTTGAAGGCCCCTGTTCCATCCCTAGTACTGAAAAATAAAATTTTAAAAAGGGCTCAGGGTGTATTTTGGTGGTGTAGTGCCCCTATGTTGATTCCCACTACTGTGAAAACAGCAGCAGCAGTAAAACACACAAATTTGTTAGCAATGATGGAAAAGCACCATACATTAAATATTTGCTGTTGTATCCCATCCAAACAGCTTTTACCCTCTTCATTGAAAAGTAATTGCTCTAAGGACTTTTACATTAGTTGGTTCTTCATAAAAAGTCACCACTATCGTTTTATAATCATGACTTAGTTCTACAATGATCACTTTTAAGTATCCTTTTTACCATTGAGAAATGAATCATCTAGGTTGTAGCTCATACAGGCTTCTCTTTTACCTCAATGCTTCTTAGTTTTGTCATAAACTAGGGAGAATAATTAATAGAATAGTAGAGGTTCAGAATCATAGCAGGAGAGCTATGATTATATGCCTAGGCATAATTATATGCCTAGACTTAAAAGTGAATCTAATGTTTGTTTGGCTTTTACCACACTGTCAAAAGCTGACAATAAATAAGTCAGTATCTCAATCAATTCTGAGTATGTTGTTATGCTTACACACATACCACAGTGGTCCAAGTTCTATTGCTGTCTTTCCAGGCATGCTTCCATGACAGTTACATGGCAACTGTCTATATGGGTTTTCTGTTAAAAAATAAATAAATAAAAAGAGAAATCAAAGGAGAAATGACTAATGCAGTAATACTAATTGTTATTGCAGCTACTATATACTGAGGATCTATTATGTGCCAGGTATTGTGCTAAGTGTTTTAAAAAAAATATTTAAAAATTTTACTTCTTACAACTATCTGAAATTGGATGTGAAAATCTCAATCATGCAGATTAGAAGATTAAAGCTTAAAAGCTATTAAAGTTAAAAAGCTTTCCATGTCAAATGGCATATTAAAGGCCTAACTGAAACTAGTTTTTAGTTATTGTATTATGTAAATAATATAACAATAACTTCTATATTTTGAAATTAGCAGATTGGGTATAATTTATGTGCAATAAAATTATATATTTAACATGAAAAGGTAGATAAATTCTGACAAATGTATAATCCCCTGCAACTCGCATCCCAATCAAAGCACAGAGACTTCTTAAGTGAACTTTTCCGTAACAGGAAAGAAAATGAGTCACTCTATTTATGTTTTAATAGACCTGACTCATATGTAGCCCTAAAATGTACGCTAGAAGAGCCCAGCTCAGTTCAAAGAACAACGAGAGGCCAGAAATAATCACAAGGAAACTGGGGCGGTTCAAGCATTATTCCTCATTTCCAAAATAGGGCAATAGTCTGTAACAGGCCTTAAAAATTCACTGAAGGCCCAGAACAGTCCCTTTATTTTTATTCTTCTGGTGGTGCTGGGGGTTGAACCCAGGACCTCACAAATGCTAGACAAGTGCTCTACTAGTAAGTGATATCACCAGCCCTCAAAATAGTCATTTTATTTTTTGTTTTTTTTTTTGGTACCGGGAATTGAACTCACGACCTTGCGCCTGCCAGGCAGGTGCTGTGCCGCTGAGCTAAATCCCCAGCCCCTCAAAACAGTCATTTTAAATTAGAAACTCCAACTAACCTCCCCAACTCCAGGCCACTCCTGGGATGATCATTCACTTTCTCAGAATGGCCTGATTCAACCACCAGTCCTATATATACTCAAAACACAGGAGGATGATTGTAGGGACACAGATCTCTAACTTCTTTCTAAATGAAAATATTACTTTATGTAATTATACGGTATAATGGAGTTGTGAGATCTTATTAAAATAAGGAACATGTCCCAATGCCCTCTATTTCCACAACCATACAGTACTGAAGTACGTGAGCAAAATGAAAAGCATAGTATGTTCACAGTAAGCTTCAAAGTCATACTATCAAATTTAATGTGCTCAAAAAATACCAACTGTGTTGTTTTTTTATTAAGACAAAAAGATATTCAATGCCAGCAATACTGAAAACAAACAGCTTTCAGGAAGGACTGTCTTAACAGATAGTAAACAACACTAAAAAGCCTCTAAATTATGGTGTAGCTATACATAGTGTGTGCATATAGTATCAGCTATTTAGGAGGCTGATGCAGGAAAATCATGTGAGCCGAAGAGTCAAACACTAGCTTGGGTAACACAGTGAGACCCCATTTTAAAATCCAAAAACCAAACTGAATAAACAGAAAATGGTGTGGTAGAGGTGTATGAATAGATATCTAATCACTAGAACAGAATAGAAAACACAGAAAAAAATTCAAATACATCTTAGTATATGATAAGGAAGGTTGAAGCCAGGCATGGTGGTGCACATACTTAAGAGGCTGAGGCAGGAGGATCACTGTGAGTTCAAGGTCAGCCTAGCCTACATAGTGAGTTCAAGGCCAGCCTGATCTGCTTAGTGAGAGCCTATCTCAAAACAAAACAAAACAAAACAAAAGAAAACAAAACTTGCATTGAAAATACAAAAAACTAAAACTCTGGCCAGCTATTCCTCAGACAGAGAACTAATATCTAGAATATACAAAGAACTCAAAAAAATTATATCATCTAAAATTGAAGACTCAGTTAAGAAATGGGCAACAGAAATGAGCAGACACTTCACAGAGGAACAAACACAAATCATTAACAAATGTATGAAAAAAGTGCAACACCTCTGGCCATTACAGAAATGCAAATTAAAATGTTAAGATTCCATCATATTCCAGAAAGAGTGGCAATCATCAAGAAATCAAACAATAACAAATGCTGGCGAGGCTGTGGTGAAAGAGGAAGCCTCACGCATTGTTGGTGGGAATGTAAACCATACAACCATTATGGAAATCAGTATGGAGCTTTCTCAAAGAACTGAAATTAGAAATTCCATATGACCCTCCAATTTCCCTGCTAGGTATCTTCTCTAAAGAGGTTAAGACAACATACGGTAGGTACTAAAGTGATACATGCATACCAATGTTTATAGCAGCACAATTTGTAATATCTAAATCCTGGAGTCAGCCTATATACCCACTACCAGATGACTGGATAAAGAAAATGTGGTATGTATATACGATGAAACACTACTCTGCTGTAAAGAATGACACATTTGAGACCTTTGTAGGAAAATGGACACATCTGAAAAATACAATGTTGAGTAAAATAAATCAGACACACAAGCTTTACTGTATGGTATTTCTCATTTGAGTGAGGCAAAATACAAAGAAATTGATAAAAGACAGACAGAAGGACAAGGAGCTAGATCTCCTGCAACAGGGAAGTGATCCAAGGGAACAAGGATGAAGGGTGAGGAGGAGGGGAAACAAGTAGAATAAAGTAATGCCATGTACAGGAACCTAAAAACCCAATTAATGTAAACATTGTATGAGCTAAGATTAATAATATCATTAAGAATGAAAAACAGGATAGGGAAATTGAAAGGGTAGGGAAGAGGGTTAAAAAAGAAAAAAAACCCAACAAGCTGTAATACGCACATGTAACCACTCCCCAAGATGACTGTAAATTGCACAAACTGCAAACATGCACTAATAAAATAAAAAATTTTTACTAACACAAAAAACTAGAAGGGTGTGGTGAGGCATGCTAGCTATAATTCTAGTACTCAGGAGGCTGAGGTAGGAGGATCTTGACTGAGTTCAAGGCCAGGCCAGGTACTTAGCAAGTACAAAGGCAGCCTGGAATACACAGCAAGACCTTGTCTCAAAACAAAAACAGAACAACCCCCATCACCCAAGAACTTACAGAACAATTTGGAGGGCATGAGGTACAACTTTTCCCTTGTATCCTCACACCTGACATATAGTAAACATTCAATAAATGTTTATTGAACAGTTTAACTTTTTATGTTCATCCAAAAACATGAACAGCCTAGACAAAAAGGTAGTCTGGCCTATTCCTAAGAATAGTTGACAGTGGAAATTTAAAGTTATTGCTAGATCTTTCAATAGAGGGCAGGGGCTAGAGAGCATTAATTATACAGAATGAGAAAGTAACTTTAATAAAATCACACAAATATCATGTCTATTAATCAAAATTAATCCAGTATAATAAATAATAAAGTTAGCACTATAAAGTCAAAGGACAATAATATGTGTAATTACGTAAAAGCATTCATTGGAGGCTTAAAGATAAACAGTATACACTCACGAGGAATTTGAATTTACCTTCCACCATGTTACCATCCTTCTGAAAAATTCTTTCTTCACACCACTGACAATGGATTAAGTACTGAATCTTTTTGGCTGTTTCATCTGCAGAAGTAGGTCCCCTCAAAACTCTTACAACCACCAAAACAAAATGTTCCAGAGCCACTGCAAACAGTACTTCTATGCCTTTGTTACACCGGGCTGCAGCTCTATAAAAACAGAGCAAAGTTATTTTGGAATATCATCATTTTCTTTTGTTTGGCACTATTGTGACAATATTGACCTGGACAGCAAATTCTAGGGAGGTCATGGGAAATCAAGGAAAATTCAAGTTTTAGTACGAGTAGTTCTTTCAGAAGGTCATTAATATAACTTTTACACAAATGGAAATACACAAAATAAAAGGGTCTTTTGCATCAAATGCTGTAGAACTTGTGTTTGAGCTAGTAAATGAGCTAGCTAGCTGACTCTTATCTATACCCACATGTTCAATTGTATATTATTATTCTTCAAGAGTAATGTTCTGTCTGTAACAGGTGCTCAAGTCTTTCAACTGCTTAGAAATCTTGAGAAACAGAGCTTATGTTGTAAGACCATTCTGCAGAATCAAGTTTATAAGCTATCATTTTATTCAAACTGTATAAAGATGCAAACATTATCGGTTCCCGGTACCGGAGAAAAACCAAAAAAAAAAAAAAAAAAAAAAAGATGAAAACATTATAAACAAGTGATTGTTTCTAAGTCTAAAAACCATTTTTCTTTTTCATACTGCTATCTCCTATCTACCTTATTGAAATAAAACACTTGTATTTGTTACTTTTTCCTTGCTTACTACTTTATTTTAAAATGGACAGTAAAGTGAGTATTTCAGGTATCAACAAAATTCTAACAGTAATAGATTAAAAACAGATTAAATCAAGTCAACATGAAAGATACATCATGTGGAGTTTATATTTCATGCAAGTTTTGTAAATTGAAGTAAACACTCATCGGTCATAACTTTAGTCATATACCAAAACATACTAGGTCTACTGCTGGCAATTTGGTACCTTGCCACCGCCGCTACAACAATTCTGGCTGCTAGTTCCTTGTAATATTCTGTTCGGACAATATTACACCCGTAGTGACGTCGTGCAACATGTTGTGCTTTGGCATATAAGGAACTGATATCTGTAGAAGTCACTGATACTATGCCAAGGTTTCTTATATTTCTGAAAGCAGAATCTAGGTAGTTCACGGATGTTCCAAAAGGGTCTAGGTGTCTAAAATCAGAAAGAATATGGACATATTTAAACTCATATTAGAAGTTGAAATTATACCACTGTAATACATTTTTAATGATAAGATACCATGGGTTCAAATATAGTTTGCAAATCTATCTTAAATAACCAATTATGTTTTTAATAATGAAGTAAGTGGTCAGGAAGGTGGCTCACTGGTGGAGTGCTTCCCCAGCATGCTTGGGGTTCAAGCCCCAAGACTGTAAAAATAAAGTAAAGTAAGTACTAAAACTATCATATGATATGTCAAGCATGTAAGAATAAACGGGGCTAAGAGGAAGAGTTCATGCCCTGGTATTTCATTTCAGATCTAGACATTTTATTTCAAATGCTAGATAATCTATTTGCTTAAGCCAATGTAAAGACTTATTAATTTTTGATTGTTGTTTTACTTTTTGGTACTGGAGATTGAACCCAGGAGCATTAAGCTACATTCTCACCTCCCTCACCTTTTTTTTCTGAGGTAGGATCTCGCCCTGTAGTTCAGGCTGGCCTCAAACTCTCGACAATACTCCTGCCTCAGCTTCCTGAGTGCTAGGATTACAGGTATGCACCACCATGCCTCAGGTTGTTCTCAACCCTTTTTTAAAGAGTTGTTTTTTTTTTTCAGTTTGAGACAAGGTCTCACTAAGTTGCCCAGACTGGATTTGAATTTATGATTATCTTGCTTAGTCTTTTTAGTGCCTAGATTAAAAAGTCTACTGATTTAAAGAAACAATAACAAAACTTTTATCTTATCACTTTAATTTCCAGATTTAACAACTGACAAAGCAAAAGTTTTTAACTTACATGAAATCAAAAGATCTCAAATGCATTAGTACATTGGCATCCATTTTGGTCACTTTAATGTTACCAAGATTTTCTTCTCCTTCCTCAAGATTATCATCACTCTCTTTCTTTTCTTTACTGTCTACCACAACTTTCAATTTGTTTAAATGGCAGTTTTCCTGAATCAGTGTTACAGAGTTTTCATTCAAGTCATTAATTGTAACTTTGACTGCATTTCCAAGATGTTTTGCCCACTGCAATCCCATTATACCTTAGGAGAAACAAGAAAGTGAGTTTTAAAATTGTAATAAATAGAAATAGTATAATAAATATAAAGATAAACACTTTTTTTTTTTGGTTTTTCTCCGGTACCGGGAACCGAACTCACGACCTTGCGCTTGCCAGGCAGGCGCTTTTGCCGCTGAGCTAAATCCCCAGCCCCGATAAACACTTTTTTAAGTTCTTTTTTTGTTTTGAGACAATGTCGTACTATGTAGGCTCAGGCTGGCCTTGAACTCACTATGCAGCCCAGGCTGGTCTTGAATTCACAGCTATTCTCCTGTTTTTGCCTCCCAAGTGCAGGATTATAGGCGTGCACCAACACATCCAGCTAAAAATTTTAATAAATAACAAATTCCTTTCAAAACCTTTAATATTTTTATTTTATTATTTTTTTTTAGACTATAAGGGATTGAACCCAAAGCCTTCCCAGTGAGATATGTCCCCAGCCCGTTATAAAACATTTTTTATTTTGTGATATGGTACTGCTAAATTAAATTGCTAAAATGCCCAGGCTGGGCTCCAATTTTTCCTCCTCCTGCTTCAGACTCCCAGGATGCTGGGATTATAGTTGTGAGGACCCTCCCCTGGCTATCATTATTCTACTCTCTTACTATCATTTCTAAAAACAGTTACCACTAAAATTGTGCCTGAAAGATTTTCATTAACACTCTTATAGTTGCTTATTATCCTCAAACAAAATCTCTATGTATGTTTTTTATTTTGTAGAGTAGATTGTTGGTTGTCTTTTTCTTATGGAATAGTTTTTCAAATGTAATCTTAAAGAAAAATCCAAAATATAATATAAATAGTGTAAGTAATGGTAGGGCTAATGCTTATAGGGCGGATGAGAAGTTGGAAGTCCTCTCACTACAAGTTTATCCTTAGTACCAAAATATGAAAAGCAACTTTTTTTTTTCAAATACTGAACAACAGCATAATTTCTGAATTAAAAAGAACAACTCTATATATGTAAGCAAATGGTCCAGAAGAATTAAAACCAAGAATGCTCCTTCTCACAGGTTTTCTATGCCTCCTGGAGTAGTCATAATTAAGAGACACAGGATAACTGGAGATGGTGACATAAACCCAGCCAGTATGGATTAGAAAAGTTCCAATGTATGAGAAATGCTGTGTCTACTAAGTGGAAAAATGCATAATTACTGTATGTTAAGGACTTCACTTTTTAAAAAATATTCTCACAATAATCTTGTGAAGTGAGAAGTGAGTGCCAACATCCTCATTTTACAGGTGGCAACCATGCAAAATGACTGCTACAAAACTGATACAGGCCTAAAAAACGGATACAAGCTTATAAAAGCATACTGAAAAGGCTGAAAAGATATTCCTTAGATAGCAGCTTTAATATTTTCAGGTTAAAAAAAAAGAGACGTGTTAGGGAAAACACTGGAAAATAAAATTGGAAAAGTAGGTTGGGATGAGATATAAAGGAAGTTAAACTGCAGTGAAGTCTAGATTCCAGGCAATAAAGGTGCGTGACTTTTCTGATTGAGGTACTGCTGCAGGGGAATGGCTGTATGGCAGTAGCATACAAGACAAAGTGGAGAGAAGAGACAACCTGGAAGTAAAAGTATCAATTAGAGACTACCTCAACAGCTTGTCACTAAATCATTAAATTAGTGGATATGGAACAGAAAAGGTATGAGAGTTATATTACCAAAAAAATTAGATCTGCTGGCTGAATATCTGTGGCGATGGTGGAGGAAAAAAAATTAAGTGATTCAGATTCTACCTCCAAGTGACTCAGAAAGTACCAGCTCATCATTTTTTCCATATTTGCTTTGAGACATTACTAATCATGTCATTGATGGTAGCAGCAGCAGTAATCATACAATACAGACGATACCTAATTGTTTTATAACATTTGCTACTTTACAGGTACTCTTCTAATGACTTTAACTGTACTGATTTACCTAAATCTTCACTTTTTTAAGATGGGTACTCTAATGTCTGTCCCCTGCCCCCTTCTAGCCAATGAGCAAATCAAGGTATAATATCCTGTGGTCATATACCAAGAGATGAAGTTGCAGCTTGCATACAGGTTACTTAAATCTTCATTATTGTAAGCTGGGTATTATTGTGCCCTCGTTTTTATAAATGAGTGAACTGAGGTATAATTTCCAGTGGTCATGAAAGTCGCCTGCAATGAAGCTGGGAGCTGAACCCACGCAATATAGCTCACAGTTTATGCTTTTGCTTTTCCCTAGAAGAGGGGCTTAGAAAGGAGAGCTTACTCATTCTTCAGAACAAGCTTTCCCAAAATATTGTTCTATAATATTTACGAAGAAAGATTTGGGTGGGTAAAGTAGCTTTCTAGAAATTCTCTATTTTTTTAATGATTTTTACTATAAAAGTTGTGGGAAAAATGTTGTAAATCTTCAAAACTGAGGGTTGGGCAATGATCATCATGATACAAAAAGATTCATCAGTTGCAAGTATTCTTGAAAAAAATTTTCTAACTAGATCTAATCAAACTACCAATTTTCAAAAATATAGGAGATAGAAAAATGTTACATAAACTATGGCAACAGTTAGCAGAAGCCTTAATAGTCAGAAACTCAGCAGATCAAAAGACTTATGTCAACAATTCCCCCATATATATATACATATATATATACTCGTAATGACAGGGAAGAGATTAGGACAATAGTCTTTGGACTCTAATTTGAATTCCTTAAAATGACATGATTGAACATATTAAACAATTATTTGTAATCTTTCCAGGTGTGATGATGATATTGTAGTTCTCTTTTTTTCCTTCCCAGTGTTAGGAATTGATTCCAAGGGTCTTCACGCTGAGCTATATCCACAGCCCTTTAGTTTTTCATTTTGAGACAGGGTTTCACTAAGTCAGTAAGTTTCCCAGGCTGGGTTGAATTTGGAATTGTGTTGCCTCTGTCTTCCAGAGTACTGGGGTTATAGGTGTGCCACGAGGCTGGGCTGTGGTTGTATTTTTAAAAAGTATCTTTTAGGCATTCGACTTAAATATTTACATGCAATGAAATGTCTATGATTTACTTAAAAATTTAGGTATGAAGGGACTAGGTAAATGGTGGCATATATGCTGAGCCGGCACACTCAGAGAGCCCTCTGTGTTAGCACTTAAATCAAGTGTGTGAGCAGTTTTTTCCTAAACTAAAACCTCAGTATTCAGGTTTAATTGCAGTGTTGGCACTTTGTGATAAGTGGGTTTTGGGTTGCAGTTTGGGCACTCAGTCTCTAAAGGGTTTGCCATCACTGGATGAGGGTATGTAGCACGGGGATAAGATAAAATGAGACAGCATGAACTGATTATTTTTGAAGTGAGTGGTGAATACACAGGGATTTGTTATACTCTTCTAATATCTGAAAATTTTTACAATAAACAAATTTTAAAAATTTTGGACCTTTACATCGAAATATTTTGCTAGATATGATATCAATTTAATTTCCTAAGAAAAGATATTGTACAAATCTGATAAGTAAAATGGGATTTCAAACAAACTTTCTCACTTACCGGTGGCTCCAAAAGCATCTAGACATTCCAAAGGTTTGCGTTCCTCAGTCAAAGCAGCCAATGTACAGAATATTAGTTGTCTAGAAGGAGGTAATAATCTGAAATAATTTTACTGTCGTACGGCTCCAGCAGTGTAGGTTTTATTTCATTTAAGAAATCTGAGAACAGGGGCTTCCTAGTTATAGTACAAACTATTTTGAAGAGAAATCTCAAAAAACTTAATCCCAACTGAATAGTATAAGACCTAAAAGTTTATGAAATAAAATAATGAATCTAACTGGATTCTAATTAATAAGCATTCTCTCATTTACTTATTAATAAAATCTGCCTCAAGAGGACAAGCCTATTCAGTAATTATATAAAGTTAGGCCTATTTTACTTTCTGACAAAGAAATTGGCTTGGTAGAAAAAAATGAAATCACTCTAAGAAAATGTTAAAATAGATGAATTTCATTCTGCATCTAGTTTTAAAATTTAATATATTAGAACATAAAAGTTAAGAAAAGGTACATTTGTAATGGTTTGAAACATCCTATAATCCTACTTTCAATTATCTTACCGATTTAGTTTCATTTTGGGATTAAAATAAGAATCTGTTTTCTGAGGTATGGAATAGTTAGGACAAACTTGTACATCTGTGTCTGCTTCTTTCAAAATTTCATTAGATGGTTTAGGAGTAGAGGCTAAGACAGAAAAAAAAACCAAATTTCAGAGAAATGCATAATGCTAAACATCTAAGACAGTTTGTATTTAAATAATAACTTATTTTGTGTTAATGCAAAGAGTTAGGCAGATGAAAACACTGATTTATTTTACACTATCTCTTGAAAAGAGTTGTATTCAAGTAACTATTTGGTATATGAAAATATTATGAGGGTTGTTTTTCGTTTTCTTTTTTTTCTTTTTTTGATGTTTTGAAATAAGGTCTCCCTTTGTAGTGTAGGCTGGCCTTGAACTCACTATGTAGCCCAGGCTGGCCTCAACTCAGTGATCTTCCTGCTTCAGCTTCCTCAGTGCTGGGGCATGTGCCACTATGCCTAGGACTAACTGAAATTTTTTGGCGGGGGACACGCAGGTACTGGGAATTGAATTCAGGACGTTGCGCTTGCCAGGCAGACACTGCACTGCTGAGCCAACAGGAAGTTTATGGTGAATGAAAAAGTGTATTCACTTAAAATCCTGCACACTGATGTATTTATATTATGGTACATCTAAGGACAATCACCTTAAGATGAAAGCAAAGGATCCTAAAGTACATTTGTGCTTCATCAAACACTACACAATGTTTGTACAAGGTGGATGCAAAATATATTTTATAGTGCTATAATTGTTAAGAAATGCATATGAATATCTTTGGTTACATTATCCACCATAAGGGAGAGAAAGAATCACTGTTTCGTGAAGATGCCAGGCTTCAGAACTACTTTCTCATAACTGTAATTTGAAATCACAAACTACACTCAAATATACATTAGAACCTTCTAGCTATGAACTCAAAATACTGATGTCATGAATATTCAAGAAGTAAAACATACATAATGATGGGGAAAAGGGCTTGAGATCCTTGATAATATCACAATCACACATTAACTAAATGGCAACCAAGCTTTTTTTTCTACAGTGCCAAACCACAGTAATCCCTCTTAGTGAACAGGCACGTCACATACCTCACAATATTAGCCTTTTTAAAGTTCTGTGAGAAAAGTAGGCTTTATAGAAAATTATTTCAGTAACTTTTTTTTTCAGTTCTTAAGGGGACGTATCGCCATTTTAGATGTACAGAAGTTAATTATTATATACCATACATGCTTTAGGCCATAGTTTAAATTATTCTTTTGAGAGGGTCTCACTCTGGAGCCAAGGCAAGCCTCCAACTTGCAGTGATCCTTCTGCCTTAGCCTCCCAAGGGCTGGGATTATAGGTGTGTGCCACTAAGCCCAGGAGGCTTAATATAGTTTTTGGGAAAGGACAAGTAGTCATTCATGATTTGATATCACCCAGGATAAAGGTCTTTATTTCACTCTGTATCATCATTCCAGCATTTTTTAGCTAAGTGTAACACAGTTATTGGTATAAAAGCTGTCATTAGGAATATAATTCTACAATCGCTGATGATATTTTCTTGAATGCCACTTATTGGTAGAAACTGAAATATTTAGTTAAACCAGTGTATTTTATCTGCCAATTGTGTAAAAAGCATACCTGGACTATTTTTAAAGATCTACTTAATAATATTTTAATAAGAGTGCTCAACTTACCAGCAATATAACTGGACTTAGTCTCTCCTTTATTCACATGGCGCCTAACATGTCCTAGCATATCAGTTCTTCTGGTGATTGTTGCTGAACAAATGATACAATGATAATGGGCTCCCATTTTACTGGATATCTATCAAACAGAGTATTTAATTTAAGTAAGTTACTAAGACAATGAGTAGAAGTTTCAAACTGCAAATATGGTAATGTTTCTTGGGTGTAACGGTATAGAAGATGTTAACTTTGCCATGTGACTTTGAAAGTATCTTAATTTCTTTACCTATATTTACATAAGCCTTTTTCTTTACATATGCTTTTAAATCTTAAGTTATAATAGGTTACAAAGTTGTTTCCTAGTTTTTCCATTCCTTTTACTCAGCAAATAACTGTACTGTATTTTCTATAAGGTGCATTAAAAATGGTATAATGTTGGCTATGGTGTGCTGATAAATGCTAAATTGGTTTTCTAAGACAATAAAGTCCTGAATTGTAGTACTTTCAGATTTCTGTGGTATAAATACTCTTTGAAGGTCAGTTTCAAGCTACAATTGTGATAGATTTCAAACTACCAATTTGAAATCAAGGAATGTGAGATTGGACAGAGATGTGCAATATTGCATCCTTATAAAACATTGCCAGCATGCAGATATACATATGTAAAGTAACGATAAGAACACAAATAATAGTAAAATGTAGTAGTCTGGAACAGTGAATTTTGAATATATATTACCTTTCCGTCTTAATTATAACATTTTAAAAATTATATGATTTAATATTTAATGATGTCATATTTAATCATCAGCTCGTAAGATTTCTGAAAATCTGAGCCAGCTCTAGTACCCACTAAATGTTAGGGGTATAAAACTTTTTTTTTAAGAAGAAAAAAAAAAAATGTAATTTCTCATTTAGCTGAGAATAAAAGAACAACTATGAGGTCTCTTTACTAGTTTTGATGCTTTTCACTAATATTGCTGCTACCTCCTATTTACTTGTGACTTTATAGCAACTATAGAATAATCGAGACTATTACACATGGTTTCTATGGTTATTATACTAAAAATACATTGGGGGGGGTTGATGGGCCACACAGTGTACTTACTACTGCTTAAGGCAATGTTTTTCTTTCTTTCTTTTTTTTTTTGCTGCACTAGGTATGAAACCCAGGGCTTCATTAGGCAAGGACTCTCATAACTAGGCTACATTTCCAGCTCAAGAATTCTTTGTTCTCATCACTTTACTGTTTTCAGTGACCTAAAGGAAAAATTCTAAATGAGGACCTATCAAGATAAAATGCATTTAGGAGCATGTCACTAAACATCTGATGATTTGTATTCCCCTTCGGTGAACTCTATCCTAAAAATAAACATACCTACATGTAAAGTTACAGTATTAAGATTTCAGAGTTTCTTGATTCTGTTGAATTAAGTTTAAAAGGAAGAACATGGAAGAATGAATATGAAATTGAAACATGGTATTTATTAACTCACAGAAATTTGGATCTCCTATTTCATGATCAAAATTTATTTTTTTACATTTTTAATTTTTTGCAGTATTTGATATTGAACCCAGGGCCTCATAATGCTGGCAAACACTCTACTGCTGAGGTATCTCCACAGCCCTTTTAAGAATTTTACTTGGATTTAGGGTCTTGCTAAGTTGCCCAGGTTGGCCCTAAATATGAGATCTTCCTGCCTCAGGCTCCTGAGTGGCTGGGATTACAAAATTCATTTTGTTTCTTTATTAATTTTTTTATTAGTACATGTTTGCAATACATAAAGAAAATTCATTTAAAAATTACTCTATTTAAATTCTCCATTTCCAAATTACTAAATGGGTTTTCATTTTGAACACAAAAGCAACTGAATGGAAATTAAAAATCACAGAGTAAGTTCAATACAACAATTTTTTATACATTTCGTATTTTCCCCCTTATTTTGTTAGTCTTATTTCTTTTTTACATGCAAAGATTTACTTACTTCACAAAAACATAAAGTGATATTATCATGAAGGGAGAGAGAAGCCTGGTTAGTGAATTCTAAAGCTTACACTGTACATTTTAAATAATTTTTCTATTATGACCCTCTAAAAGCAGTGAGATACAGAATTTTAAAGTAAACTGTACTGCTGATACACACATTTTCATTTTAAATCAGGAATCACTTCTCAGCCCTTTGGCTAGATCAACTATTATTATAAAACAAGTAAAAATTGTGCTTTCTTTAAAGAAGACAAAATTTAAAATAAACATCTGATTACCTGTTCTCCAATAATGTTTGGTTTTACTGGTCGACAAGGTAAGTGACAGATGCACATCCTGTAACCTAGAATGAAGAGTGGTTGGTTGTCACTAAGTACTCAACTAGCATTAAAAACTATGAACACATTTTATTTGCCAGGAATTGGGATTAACTTTTTTCTTTCTTTTTTTTTTTTGAGATAGGGTTTCACTTTGCAGTTCAGGCTGGCTTTGAATTCTGTAGCCCAGGCTGGCCTCAAACTCACATCAATCCTCCTGGGATTACAGGCATTCAACACCACTCCTGGCTGGGATTAACTTTATACTTATGTCATCATTATGTAAGTGATGCTTTGGTTTATACATGAGATATACATAAACAAATACAGGTGATCTAGGCTTGGATTCTGATTTTGCTGCCTGTTTTATTTTAGATTAGCTGTTTTAGTCAAGTTCTCTTGGGCTGGACTACAGCCCGAGCCCCTCTTATTTTTGAGACAGGATCGTACTAAATTGCCCAGGCTAACCTTGAATTTGTGACCCACCTGTCTTAGCCTTCCCAGTTGCTGGGATCATAGGCATTCATCATCACACCTGGCAGTACTCCATCACACCTGGCAGTACTCAGTTTTATCATATACTTTGCCACTTGAACTTTTTCTTAAGCTTCAGCTTTGCTTCATGCTATATCTTGCCACTGTACAGTCTTTTCTTCATCTATAATATGACACTATTTTGGATCTCTTTTTTGAGACAAAGTCTTGCTATGTAGCCCAGGGTGGCCTCCTGCCTCAGCCTCCTGAGTGCTAGGATTACAAGTGTGTATAACCACGCTTCTCTTATCTTTCTTGCTCTTCTTTATAGATCTTTTTCTGACTCTCGTACCCTAAAATGTAGATATTCCTTAGGCTGGATCAGGTATGCATTTTTTTCCTTGGTAACTTAAATTACTTTCATGATCTCACTTATTTCTCCTATTGGAAAGAATGCCAAGTTATAGGTGAAATTAATGTATCATCCCTGAGAGCCAAATCCCTATTTCCAATTGCTTAGTTGTTTTTTTTTTTTTTTTTTTT